CTATATTACATTATCATTTCTAGAAAGGGCAACCACCACATTTTGTAACAATAATGCAAAATGTAATGACGTTATTATGTAATGTGGCTGCAAGTATTACAAAATGTGCTGAAGGCTTTTATTGRATTTTGCGTCATTAATTAAATAATGCAGTTTTAGTGTGGGTCTATTACATTTTGAAATCTGATTTTATTATATTATTACTAGGGGTGCAACAATACAGAAAATTTATGGTTCAGTTCGATACTTTAGTCTCACGGTTCAATATTTTTTCGACACAAAAAAGAGAAATGTCCATGTCCTTTTAACTTGTAATTTATTTAAATTAATTATGAACATTTGTTTAACCTCAAAAGTCCAGTTTATAAATTAAATGTTGCTGAAACAGCAAGTTTCTCAGTGGATCTGTGCTCAAAAATGCAGCCTAGGTGGAGTAGTCGAACACAGATCCACTGATCCTTCAACACAGAGCATCTTCAGAAGACAAGTTGATAAAATAAATGTTATAAATCAGTATTGTTCCATACAGCACTGTTTGATACGGGTTCGTGTATTGTTGCACGCCTAATTATTACATACTGTGGAGTTATGACATAATGCATCGTTACATGGTCTGCACACATTCTGCATCTCTGCATGGATTACATCACTGACTGCTGGAACCAACAGAAAAATAGATACCAAAATAAGTTCTATATTTCTATAGCTTTATGTTCAGTCTTCATACAAATATTGAGCTTTTGGTTCATATGCAAAGCAAAATAGACTTTGATGGGTTTCTCAAACAACAGAAATTGCACAGCAGATATAGAATTTAAGACCACATTTTCAAAAGTAGTTCACACGTAGTAAACAGTCTCCAAGGTGCAGTATGAAATTGAGCYTCGTCATCATGCTGCAGAGGGGGCTGTTTCAAGGCTTTGGTACAAAATGTCCTGATAGAAATGCTCTGCCATTGSCCTAAGGTGGTCTCACCCACTTCTGTCACAGAGAGGAGGGAGCAGAGGCCATGACCACCTACACACATGAACAAAACTGTTGTTAGCCTCGTTTAATGAAAAAAACCACAACGGTCCCAGAAATAACTAGAATCTGACAAAAGTAATATTAAATAAAGATTCTATATAAATGAACAAATGAAAGTCAGACTTTACTTTTCAATCAAGCATCAACAGAATAAAACAGATAAACTCATGAAACAGACCTGGACAGAAACGATGGAAGTCTTAACTTAATATTTAGTTGCTCAACCTTTGAGTCAATCAGTCGATCAAAGGATTCCTGTAAGTGTCAGTGAGACTTTTTGTTCCACTCCTCATGAACAAACTGCTCCAGGTGTCTCAGGTTTGATGTTTCAGCTCCTAAAGATGTTCAACAGGATTCAGGTCAGGATCATAGAGACCACTTCAGAACAGTTCAATGTTTTCCTCTGAGTCATTCTTGGTGTTTTTATCTGTTTGGGCTCATTATCCTGTTGAAGACCCATGAGCTGCTGACACCAAGCTTTCTGACACCAGCAGCACATTTCTATGGAGCTATTTGGGTCTCAAAATCCTCACACGTGCACAGAACAATCCATCCGTGCACAGAACGGTTCACATG